TACCGGTAATAGTGAAGAGTCAGGGAGGCCATGCCCAGTAGAGCACGGTGCGGGGCAGTGCGGGGTCACGTACCATCTATACATGATACAGGATAGGACAATAGTTGGCACTCAGGCCTGGGTAGCACTGAGAACGAGGGAAAATCCCAGAGGAACAGCACTACAATAAAATTAAAAAAAACCCACACCCACAGAGAGCAGAGGCAGTAACATAAACTGTAACAAGACTGAGAGTTCATGCCCGCCTAGCGGAGCACACCATTACAGTCCAACGGATCACAGTCACCAGGCACAGCTTGGCCAGCAGGTGGTGACCAAAGTTACGGCGGTGGCGGCCCTTCAGCATCATCAGGGGCGTCGGACACGGTACGGTCAGCACGGCGCGGTATTGACCGTACCACTTTTTGCCCCAATTACCCGTGAATCAATAAAATACACTGATCAGGACTCTAAATTTCCAAAATTTTCGGTTCCGCCATTCCTCCCCCACTAGTAAACTGTACTTCAGATGACTGACCGTACCACCCCAAAATACCTTCCGACGCCCCTGATAATATTATCACAATAACCCCGGAAGGTGTACCCAGTGTGCTGACAGTGCTCAACACCATGGCGGAGGCAGAGGGTAATAGTTGCCTGATGAGTGCGAGAGCATGACAGCAAACAAGCCTTGATTGTCCTTGTTGTTCTGTTCTGTATTATATAATATCACAATTATGTGGCCGTGTCAACGATGACCAGTGATCTGTCCCCGGGGGAAATTGCGGAAAAAAATCGCAAAAAACGCGGGGAAAAACGCGGCATAATATGGCATAATTTGCGGTGAATTTGCGGTAAATATGCGGTAAATATGCGGTGAATGCGGCAATTTTCAGTGAGTATGTAGTGAAATCAATCAGTTACAAGTCTCTGGTGTAATAACTCGTCATATTTGAGTAAAAAGCCGCCACGATGAGACGTTGCTGACCGAACAGTGCACTGTGTGTACGTGTAGTGCAACAAAAAAGTTCAAAAAACGCGGGAAAATCGCGGAAAACGCGGTCTTTCAAAAAATCGCAAAAAAGGCGGAAAAAACGCGGCCGCGGAATCGCAATTTTCCCCGGGGACAGAGTGATACTCCACAGGTACAAACGCTGAATATCTGCACAGAAGTCATAATCTTATGGCTGCTTGCTGTGAACAACTAAATATGTACTTTGAAGTACACCCACACCAACAGCAAGAGTAACCCTCCAAGAGTGCAGGGCTAGGGGCGTAGGAATCAGATTTCCAATGGTCCGGCGGATTTTTAGCTCATACAGGTCGCGATTTTTTTTTAAATTTTAACTCCGCCCGCGCCCACTGTGACTACGACAATTAGGCATTGGTGGATAATGCTCGAAAAGCAGTGAAATTGGCAGAACCATACAAACCTTATGGCGGGCAATTCCTCGAATTCTGCTCCATTTCTTTATCCACATACCAAACATGCATGAGACTTACCAGATAGGCCTTGACGGATTATGCTAGCATAATTTTCCGCATAATTTCTACCAAAATCGAATAATCGCATAATTCGAGGCAAATTGCATATGAATCGCATAGATTGGAATAATCCGCCTGTTCGCATCAAATTCCATACAGTTGTACATGTTCTACAAGTACAAGTACAAGTAGATACACCAGAAAGTCGTAGGTTTACGACTCCCTTGATAACATGTCCAGTCCACTACAATCAGTGACGGTTGTAGCTAGGTCGGACGCGTCCGGACGGTGCGGTGACCCCGTTGAACTTTTGCTACTACAGTACAACGCCCTCAACAAAACAATTCCCCTGGTATTTTGCACAGAACCATCATATACATCAGCAGCATATGTACATGTGAGCATAATGCGGCATAATATGATAACTTTTAGCATAAAAATAGCATAATTCTGCGATTTTTTCAGCAATGCGAAAAGCATAATTTCACGAAAATATTAGCATAATCCGTCAAGGCCTATTACCAGAAAATGTACCGAATTCTGCCAATTTTTCTACCGGCATTATCTGCAAAGGCCTAACTACAGTACAATCATGTGCATGTATTCCCATCGTCTTGAGGGTTAGGCATGATGGGGAAGTTGCCATACAGGGGTGGTGACTCAGCCCGCCTTTCGGCACCGGGAATACAGCTCGCTCGACTCTGTCTCAACTGAGTGAAGAGGGCGATTTTACTTGCAAAAGGATTGATATTAACGATATGAACAAATACGGTGGTACTTGGTATCATGGAAGACTTGAGGTTAAACTAGTATACTCCTGAAGTGCAGGTATAAATTCCCGTGCAGTGCTCTTCAGGCACTAGCCGTCCAGCAGTTTCTTGTGGACATTCAGGAACATCAGGTGATCCTGTCCTCGCGGGTTGTACTGCGTAAGTAGGACTTGTGTATTGAGACTATTGACCCTACGCGTGGTGGAACACGAGCTTGCTGCCCCCCCCCCCTTTTCTTTTCTTCTTTTTGGCGAAACATTGGTCCGGCGGCCGCCGGACCTGCCGGACCTGTTCCTATGCCCCTGGAATGTGCAACTCTGCATATGATTATGGGGTCTCCGACGTGGGGACCGGCGGATTCTGCTCGAAAAGGTGGCAGATTCTGCTCGAAGAGCAGTGAAATTGGCAGAACCATACAAACCTTATGGCGGGCAATTCCTCAAATTCTGCTCCATTTCTTTATCCACGTACCAAACATGCATGAAACTTACCAGAAAAAGTACCGAATTTCGCCAATTTTTCTGCCGGCAGAATCCGCCGAACCCTACTCCGACGGCGAAAACTCACATCACGTGTTTCGTACTACGTACAAACGAAGGATAACGTGCGCGCAATATCTGCAGGATCATGCTGGGGATTTGCATATGCGCAGTGAGTTTCTGTCAGAGAGTGTTTTTTTTTTTACTCCGCTGCTCGCTAAAAACGGGCTGGAAACGTACAACTGCGACACTACACCACGTGATGTGAGTTTTCGCCGTCCGCGTACCCCATAGAAAGGCATCATGAGTTGCACACTCTTGGGGGGTAGGCTCAGACAGATTCTGCTCCACACGCCTCGATATTTTGCCGAGCCTGGCACAAGAAACTCGATATTTTGCTTCATTTTTTGCTCCAGAAAAACGTGTATTTTATCCACTTCCGGTACAATCCCGTACGTTTCATAAAATCGCAGGGTCGGCTTCTCAACGCGGGTTTCCACGCACGTGTCCATGAGTTCTTCCAAAATCATGTCGATCCACAGTGAATCCCAGTGATATTTCGTTGACATGATCTCGTCCTGGGCAGTGTATCCTGCTGAACCAAGGAAATCCAAGTATCAGGCATCGATTTTACCCAACATCTCGATATTTTGCTCCGACTTAGCCGGCAATTTCCGCTCTTCCAATTCTTCGATATTTTGCTGAAAAAATTGCCGGCAGGATCTGTCTGGGTCCGTGTGGGGGGGGTATAATACTCTTGCCAACAGCAGTAGTTATGCGTATGCAGCCAGCAACGTAGTTCTTTCGAGATAGCGGATTATGGCGTTGACAATGAGAACGGTGTGCTATGCTGCACACAGCATTGATTACGTTGACCATGCCGCCTACAGTCAACACGGATACTGCCCCCTCCTAGAGTAAGTCTTGGGCAATCAGTAGTTCAGTAACAGGGAGTCGTAAAATACCGGTATTTTACGACTCCCTGTTCAGTACTAATCACTACTACTACTAGAGTACAGTACTACAGTAGTCAATCAGCCATGTACACATCCGAGTTTCTCAAAACAAGATCCAACAATTCAACGGAATAATGATAATGATAATTATTGTGAAAAAGGAGGACAACATTTTACGAGTTATGACTAACTGTCCACCATACCAACGTAACCAGATCTTATACAGTCAGCATATATTGTTATTATTATTATTATCTTTATTGGAGACATGACTGTAGCATGTGTGGAGACCGTCTCCAACCTAGAGTATTGTGTAACAACCAGTGCTGGTCAATCAGCCATGTGTATATGTAGTGATGTCAATGCAGTGCTGGTCAATCAGCCATGTGTATATGTAGTGATGTCAATGTCGTCACCCGTGTTTCTGCCACCGCTGTCAAATGAATGTGCTGACCTCGGTTACGACACAGCCAGCTGTGCTGTCAAGCATTCGGCTACTCTTGCTGCTGGTGGTGCTGGTGGTGCCGGTGCTGATGCCGGTGCTGCTACTGGTGCTGATGCCGGTGGTGCTGCCGGTGCTGCTACTGGTGCTGGTGGTGTTGCTGCTGCTGATGCTGTTGCTGCTAGTCATGGCTGCTACTGATGGTGTTGCTGCTGCTGTCTTCACTTGCAATGGTCATGAGCACACACTGCCAAAGTCTGTGCACAGTTCAAAACTGACCACACTACATGTTATGTTCATGCATTGGCAGCACTGACTCTTTCAGCTACACACCTGCTGACACTGCAGACGCTTTCAGCTACACACACACAAGCGCTGGCAGCACTGAATCGCTCAGCCAAGCACAATGTCTAGCCGTAACAAGACGGCAACGTCTACACACACAATATCGGTGCGGATTTCTTCCAGCATAATCGCACAAACTGGTTGGAAGTGGTTGATTGCTACTCCCATTACTCTTAGGTCATCTCCATGTTGTATATCACTGCTACTAACTCGTGGACACACTCCACTCGCTCGTCAGCCGCCACGGTGTTCCTGCCGTCGTTGTTTGCTCTGACAATGGTCCGCAATTTGCTTCGGAGGAGTTCAGAACGCTCAGCCGGAAACTCCCATTTCCAGCACATCACCAGCAGTCCACATTACCCGCAGACTAATGTTGAAGCCGAGCGCATGGTCTGTACCGTTAAGGACACGCTCGAGCAGAACGCCACCACGTGCCAGTTGTACGATGCTTTTTTTGCTTTTTTTTTTTTTTTTTTTTTTTTTTTTGGTATTTTTTGACACAGCCCTACTGGAAAACAGGCTTTACTTGTGCATGGAGCTACTCCCCTGGCACACTGTCGCTATAGTCCTGCCGAATTGCTGATGGGTCACAACGTCCAAACCCCGCTCTCTCAGCTGCCATCGTAACTTCTGCCGGATGCTGTCAACCACCACGCATTTCAAGATGCTGATGCACAGTGGAAGGCCGAGGTCTACCCGGCAATACGACCTCCGGCACCAAACTCGTGACCTCCCTCCGCTGGGACATGGGGACATTGTTGTAGTACGTTATTTTGTGTACGCGCCGTGTTTTTTGTTTTTGTTTTTTTTTGTACTCATTGTCGTACGTCTAGTCAGAAACAGAAAAAAATAATAAGGCACCCATTTTAATGGTCCAGGGGATGGCCCACGCCTGGTAAAGAGAATAAATAGAGAAAAGAAAAGACGGATATTTCACAGGAAGTACAAGTAAGTGATTTCCAAATTATAGTCTTTCAAATGTGGTTATCTCGTTGTCCATTGTCTGAGGGTGGAGATGGCACGGGGCTGGTAGCAGGTAGAGAATGCAGAGTTGCAACAACACCGTCACGTCTGCCGCCGACCCATTGAAGGAGACGGCAGAACCGCATCACAACATGAGCTTCTGGCTGAGAATCTCGTACATCATGCGACGGCGAAAGTATGCGATGTCAGCCTGTGTACACATACACCCACGCACACCCACCCACGCACACAACCCACACAACACACACACACACACACACACACACAACACACACAACACAAACACACACACACACACGCACGCGCGTGTGCGTACACACATACACACGCCCGCTCACACACACACATATACACACACACAGATGCACACACACACAGAGATGCACACACACACACACACACACACACACACACACACACACACACACACACACACACACACACACACACACAACACACACAATGCAGCACACATAGATTAATGGAGGTAAAGTTTAGCAGGTAAAATCACGGTAATTACAAATGATCTTAGAGACAGGCACACAGACAGATAGGCAATGAAAATAAGACTATGGATCACATGCAATGGGGCATTGCGGTATAACAACACACCAGGTATCCAAAGGTACTTAAAAAAAACTAAAAGTGGGCAACAAGAGACAAAAGAGAGAGAGAGAGAGAGAGAGAGAGAGAGAGAGAGAGAGAGAGAGCCGGAGAGAGAGATAGTCTGTGTGTGTGTGTGCGTGTGTGCGTATGTGTGTGTGTGTATGTGTGTGTGTGTGTGTGTGTGTGTGTGTGTGTGTGTGTGTGTGTGTGTGTGTGTGTGCGTATGTGTGTGTGCCAGCTAGTTCGGTTGGTGGGTACACTTATGCCTGATTGTGTTGGGTCTGGGGGGGGGGCACATTGTTCATACATTTCTGATGTCAAATATAGATGACCCTCGTGTATTTTTGGGAGCAAAGTTTCCCTTTCCCTTAAAAGGTAGCAGTACTGGAAAGTGGGTGTCATATTTAGCCAAAATATCGATGTCACGGGAACTGCTTCAAGTGTGATTTTTCTGAAAGAAGGAATACCAAAGGCTTTACAGAGGAATTTTTTGGCATTCGAACCAGCCAAAGCAGAGATATGGCCCTGCGAAAACTGGAAATACCCATCAAAATTTCAAAATTGCACTGATCAACTGACGAGGTCAATCTATTTCGAGAGGGTTTCTGCACAATATCAGCGCATCCTGGCCAATCTAGAGCTTGATTCACTCTGTCCAACTAAAACCTATAGGCAGCGCCGGGTTTGGCAAAAGAGCTGGGCTAGCTGGCACTCACCACCGCACTGCACAGCGCCTAGCCTGGCTTGGTCCTCACACACGCAATTGTACTTTCGAATAAACAAATCCTTTTGTTCTCAAACTGCTTGCCAGTACAGTCCGACGAACATATTGCGTTTGTCATCGGCGTTGAAGCTCAGGCTGCGCTCGAGTTGTTGTGCTGGCGCTACTTGATCGAGAGATGGGTGACAGGGGCATCGCACACGGTACGGTCACTACGGTATTGACCGTACCACTATTTCAGTATTTGCCCCAAGTACCCCTTGAATCAATATAATGCACTGATTTGGGCTCCAAATTTCCAAAATGTTCGGCTCAGCCATCCCCCCCCCCCCCCCATGAGTAAATTGTACTTCAGATGGCTGACCGTACCACACTAAAATACCTTCCGACGCCCCTGGGTGATGAATGCAAACAAAGGTCGCTCAGCAGGCCAAGGAAAAGCAAATTTCCTAGAGTTATATCCAAGCCCATTTCAAGTCCTGAATTATTTGAGGGAAGTGAAAGCGAACATGAGTCGCAGTCTGATGAAGCTGGCGAGCGCGTGGAAGATGACTCTGCTCTTCCAGCTGATATATTATTCAATGATGCCTCGTGTGATAACGATGGAGATTAGTGGGAAGAGGATTGCGATGATATTCCATCAGGAAATCGAATTGTTCGCATGGAGAGCTTACAGCAATTGGTGACATCAGCTTGTGTATGTAGTAACTGTCAAGGGGGCAAGCTGACCATCAAAGAGAATTTTCGTCATGGCCTAGCATCAACAATTAGTTTGCAGTGAGAATCGCGCAGCTCATCAACCAGTGCAGCCCTGGCAGAAAGACACCCGCCTGCTAAATTGTACGATATAAACCGTCGCCGCAGTGTGCTTGCCATGCGCCTTGTTGGTAGTGGACGAGAAGGTCTGAACGGTATCTGTAGGATATTGGACATGTTGCCTCCTGTTAGCACGTCCGATTCTGGGCACAGCGATGCACTACACACTGCTGCGGAAACTGTTGCTAGGGACAGCATGAAGAATGCTGCAGAGCGTCTTCTTGTTCGGCGAACAACAGAACAGTATTCCCACCCGGAGAATGTTGCAGTTAGCACCGATGGAACGTGGATGAAGCACGGCTTCCCATCAATGTTTGGTGTGCAAACGGTTGTGTCCTATGAGACAGGAAAGGTTCTATCGTGGAGGTGCTATCAAAACACTGCAGTGGATGTGAAACTTGGAAGAACAGGTGGCAAGCAGGAAAGATTTCTAATGCTGAGTATGAACAAATTTTTTGGGAAATTAGAGCCCAAATCAGTGCATTTTATTGATTCACAGGGTACTTGGGGCAAATAGTGGTACGGTCAATACCGTAGTGACCGTACCGTGTGCGACGCCCCTGTCATATGAGGAGAAGGTCCAGTGAGGAGAAAAAGTTAGCCAGGAAGAGAAGAACAGCCCTTCGAAAGGGATTTGCTGACGCGACACAGCAAGCAGAATAAGTCACATACATTGCTGGAGGGTTCTCAGGGTGCGAACAGTTAGTCTTTTTTTGGCCTCCCGACCAAACTTTGGTACACATTATCTCCAAACTGGCTCACCACAGCCCAATAAACCTTATATGTAGATTGATCAGTGGAAAATTTCCCAGATGCTGAACATATTTTATGAAGCCATAGTGTTTTGTTTGGCGGACGGTAGCTGCCTCAGTACTAGTAATAATCTTTTTCGACGGTGATGGGCGTCTTCACAGGTGATGTTGACTGAGTGGTGCTATTTGCGTCCTATCTCCAATCTGTTCTATTCAGCATCTGCTACTGTTGTAGACTGTCTCTTGTGATGCATTTTTATCACTTTTTAGCTGATATTACTGTTGTCACGTATCATACCGTATGTACCGTATATGGATAGACTTACTATACCGTATATATAGTACGTTATTTTGTGTTTTGTCTTGAAATAAACAGTCACTTGAGTCTTCCTGTGCAATCACTTAGTGCAATATTGTTCCCTGAGAATACTACTTGTGTTTCGAGTCGGAGAGACTGAGCCAGTTTTGCCTTGTCACTCGGTCGTATACTACAATTACGTTGCTGTTAGTATGTGCCAAAACCTATCAATTGACAGCATTTTTTACTCTCCAGTGCAGTGGACTTTTGGGATGATGCGAAGTACTGGGAAAAGATTCAGCATGTTGGTTAGGAGCCAATCATTCGAAAACGGCAAGGCACGAAATCTACACGAAACGCCAAGCACCGTTT